AGTGATTCCTGACATGTGTCGCACTTCCCGATCTTGCTAGAGGTTCCCTGCACATTCAGACAGTCAGCGGTTGCCCATCGCATGCGGCCAGGTGATGGCGCATTGTGAGTGGGAGAAAGCTCACCAAACGCGGGTCTAGCGGACCGTGTTGGAAAGGGGCTCTGTTGTTGTCGACATCGTAGAGAAGACGGTCGGAAACTTCTAGGACGGCCTGGTTGGCAATATCCTGGTTGGATCTGTCGCTACGGTCAGCTGGCGATGATGCGAAGAGGGGTGGGAGTCATACTGGATGCCAAACTTGATGCCCTGGAAACGCTTGGGCAGATTGTCCACCAGCTGGGACTTCACAGGTGCAAGTGTCGCGGTAGCCATGGTACAGACGTTCCAAAGTGTGTATAGCAGCAGTTGTCGCGGGCAGAGGACGCCGTAGGCTGAGGAAGTTGGGTTTGAGGTCGCTAGCGCAATGCGCCTGTCTACCGATCTGTGGCGGACTCGGGGATGCGCGTGGGTGGCTCGAGCATGACGTATTCCTCAGGCACAGAATAAAGTCGTCACTCGGGGCCAATGTGATTGTTCGGCTCTCTATGTCTGCCAGAGAGATATTCGGTGCGTTGCTAACTGACTGGGTGTCGTCGTGTGGTGGACTGTCGCAAATCGTAGATGGGGGAAATTTTGACACGGCGGGTGGGGTGAAAGGCTTCAGAGGAAACATCGCGACGGGAAGAGCTCGTGCCCCACCATCCAACCTAGTCCCCGTGCGTGTGGTGGATAATGGCGCTGACATGGGTGGGCGTCGACAGGGACAGCTCAAGCTCAGGTACATGCATGGATGTCATGTTGATCAGTCCAACCTGAGAATTCTTGTCTTTCATTCTCAAAGTCCCGCTTCAATTGATCATGAGGGACTGACTACCTACATGTACACACGGAGCTCTTTACTCTGTTGCTCTTGCGTACAGAATCGGGCCCAATATGCTCCTGCATGATTGTTGCTGCTTGTCAGTGTTTCTTTCTTTGGGCATGTTTCTGCGAGGGTAGATTCATTTCCAGTACGTTTGCAGATTCTTGAGTTCCATGGCTCTCAAGACAATCACATGCTTGACAGGTGGATGGGTAGGTAGTCATTCCAGGTGCCTTAGGTGCAATCGGATTACTGCTCTCTTTTGCCCTGGCTTGCCTGGTCTCCATGCATGTCACACAGCTCGCTCCCTGCTGCTTACCTATCGACTGGCTAGAGGCATTGCACCTAACACACAGGGTGGGAGGGTGGCATGCCAGGGGCATGAGCCAAGCAGGCGCCCCCCTCTCTCGGGTGGTGGGGGTGGTGCCAGCGGCGCTGAAGCCACGTCCTGCCCTCCAACGGGGTCCTATCACATGCCCACATGGCACTTGACGTCAGGGGATCAAGGCACTCCCATACTATCGATGCCTTGTAATAAAGCCTACGATACTCCAACCTCACCAACGTGGTCATTGAGCGCAACTGAGGCATCTTCCGCCATCGTTCACGGTCCTTCGGTTCGGCTCCCCATTACGCCGTGTGGCGTTTGTTTGTTTCACCTTGGCTGGCGGGTTTTCATACAGCAGCCACGTTGGCGCTGTTGTTGACATTGCGTCGGCGACCGAGGGGACAGCATCTTCCCTGGCTTCGGTCTGCAGCTTCACGGTGCCTCGGCTCTCCCCTCCGGGACTCACTTGCTGCATGGCCCTCAGGAATAGCAACCACCATGGCCCCTGGTGGTGCCGATAAGAGACTTGAGAAGTCGTACCTCTCCTCTGCAGTCGATTCCATCAACCCCTGGGCCGCCAGCAGCCGCAGCACAACTCCCACGCCCAAGGATGTTCCTGTCCAGCAGCAGCTCGTCAAAGGCACAGGATCGGTCGCTGGCGACCACAGCACTACCCATCTATACGGCTGCAGCGCGAAGAGCTATCCCTCGGATTGCCCCCCTCTGAAAGTCCTCTGGTTCCATGCCGTTGACGTGCGTTGATTCTCCTCCCTTGCCGCCTAATGCATTTGAACTGGTTGTTAATCGGCAAGAAACTCTCCAGATACCCAAGAGAAAGGCCAAATATGCCTCATCTAAGCCCGTCGACGATTCCAAACCACCCCAGCAGCCCAAGAAATACGTCCAGTTCTCTTCCTCTGACTCGCGAGCCATCGAAGCCGCCTACCAGACTCTACTCGAAAAGAGCGAGCGCAGTTCAGCAAAGTCGGGCTCGCGAAGCTCGTCCCCAAGCCCAAAGAAACCAGAGAATATACCCCGTGAAGCCCACTCAGACACTGCGACAGGTGCATCCGCTGGAAAATTGCCCAAGACCACCACAAACGTGCCCGTCAACGAAGACTACTTGTTTGACGTGAACATTGAGCAGAGAGAGCTTTCGCCAGTGTACTGGATTGGCCCCGTGTATGATGTTCGACGTGGGACGTGGTTCTACCAGGAAGGCTCAAGTCTTCGTCCGTGTGAGGAGAACCTGGCGTCTCAACTGGAAGACGGCTTCCTCAAAATCAAGCCTTGGCTTTATCCTAAGCCCAAAGTGGCTCAGGATGACAAAAAGAAGGAGACGGTTAGCATACCGTCGACGGCGGTTTCTGGAGACGCATCCATAAGCTCCGCAAAGTCCGATGTGTCTGCAACGTCTGCGCAAGCGCCCATTCCTGGCCCCTTGGGTCAACCTCAGTCGCACAGGTTGTTCGGCACTCACATGAACAGTATCGCCACATATCAAGACTCGAACACGGCATGGTTGTCCTCCGACACAATGCTGTCATGGGTCACATCTACCATGTATGAGCGGTTCTCTGGTGGTGGTTACATGAGTGGTGTTAAACTGGTCCGCGGTTGGTCAGATCTCGCCAAGAATGCTGAGGCAAAAAGCACTACGGACCAGCGGCCAGCGAAGCAGACAAGCACCGAGACACCTGTAGATCTGGACGAGAAAGAACAACGCAGACTCAAGAGAAGATCAGCCCCGCCGTCCACTGGTCCCGGTCGGCGCGATACAGAAACCGGCGAGATTCGCAGTGATCAGCAGTTCAGGGAGACTCACCTCCAAAGGCAACTGTCATCGCTGATGGGGGACACCGGCAACGCTGAAGAGAAAGAAGAGGCCATGAGACGACAGGCCGAACAAGAAATACAAGACGATTACACTGGCCTCGCCGATGAAACCCAAGGTCGCGACATCGAACACTTGTGTCTGGTGACGCATGGGATAGGCCAGCTTTTGGGAATGAAGTTTGTCATTTCCAGCAATCATCTGAGTGATTCCTACAGAACGACTAACGACTGGCAATAGGATGGAAAGCTTAAACTTTGTTCACGACGTCAATGTCATGCGCAAGGTCATGAAAACAACGTATGCTAATTCGGTAGACCTTCGCGCTCTCAATGGAGAGCTTGGTGACGGGTTCAAGAACTGCCGGGTCCAAGTTCTACCAGTCTGCTGGAGACATTTGCTAGATTTCCCCAAGAAGCGCGAGAAGAAGGGCGAACGCGATCTGGCTGATGCAAGCAACGAGGAAGATGAGTGTACGTCTGACTTTGGTTTTCTGGACCCGCCGCTCCGTGTACTGATGACTGGTAGACCCCTCGCTCGACGATATCACAATCGAGGGTGTGGCCTTTGCGCGATCCCTCATTTCTGACTTGGCCTTGGACGTCTTGCTCTACCAGAGCGCATATCGGGAACAGATATCCGAGATCGTTTTGCAAGAATCAAACCGGATCCACAAGCTGTTCATGAAGCGGAACCCGGGTTTCAAAGGCAAAGTTCATATCATGGGTCATTCGCTCGGCTCTGCCATCATGTTCGACATACTTTGCCGACAGAAGGAGGCTACGCCGGCAACAGACAAGCTCGCCAATCCTCTACGCTTCTGGCCAGCAAAAGACAATCAAGACTTACCAAAAAAGAGACACGATCTTCAATTTGAGTTTGATGTTGAGGACTTTTACTGTCTAGGTTCCCCGGTTGGGTTGTTCCAGATGCTCAAGGGACGGTAAGAACGAGACTGGGCCAAACTTGACCGGCAATGCGTGAAGAGACTAACCATTACAAACAGAACCGTTGCCGCTCGACACCTTGCGGACTCCCTCCCTTCCGAAAGCCCTTTGAATCCCGATGACGTCGATGATCCGTTCCTGTCGGTCAGAGCCGATTCTTCTGCTGGGGAACGAGTATCGCAAGTGACCGGTCTTCCTTTTTCGGTCTCGTCACCCAAGGTTGCGCAGCTTTACAACATCTTCCACCCTTCTGACCCCATCAGCTACCGCCTTGAGCCGTTGATATCGACGTCCATGTCAAGTCTGAAACCACAGGTGCTCCCATACACCAAAAAAGGCATCTTTGGCAACGTGGCTCCACAAGGCTTGACTGGCATTGGTGCGAAGGTCGGACAAAGTGTCAGCGGTCTGTGGTCGAGTCTCAGCGCTGGCATCGCAAGCAACCTTCTGAACCGCAGCCTTGGCCTCACCAGCGACGACGTCGCAAAAATGAACTCTGCGTCAGAACAAGGGCGAGCGGCCAACAGCTCGCTACAAGGGGAAGCAGCTTCTGACGTAGATGCAATAACGAATGCTTCAAAGTTAGGCCAGAAAACCAACGAGCGAAAGAATCAGTTGGCGTCGCCTGCCGGTGATGATGCCCGGACAAGCATGAGTGGCAACGACCCTACGCTGATTGACGACGAGCTTGAGACGTTGTACTCGAAGTTCCAGGAGAAGTTTACGCAAGGGGTTCCCGACGAAGGCCTTGCAGCTGAGGATCGGGTTGGATGGGACCGAAAGGCACGCAAGTTGCGCCACGAAGACATGAAAATCCGCGCGTTGAATCGCAACGGCAGAGTTGACTACAGCATCCAGGAGTAAGTCGTATATATCAATATGGTGCCTAGTCGACGACGTATAGAGGGCTGTGCTAACTCGATGCAGGAGTGTTCTGGATTTCAACCCTATCAACACCATTGCATCACACATGGGATATTGGGCAGATGAGGACGTCAATCACTTTATTTTGTCGCAGCTGCTGTCTAGCAAGTCGAGAGACTCCAAGAAATCGGGATCTCGATAAGAGCTCTTGGACCAGCGAACAGCTTTATCATGGTCGCAAGACGCCCGAATCGTTAATGACACCCCATTGATCAGGCATTCTTTGCGCAATATCATATGCTGACTTCCCTCCGTCGCTCTGTAAAGACCTGATGTCGTCACCGGAAGTGTCAAGGCGGCCAATGTGTGCTGCCTTGGCAACGTTTTGTGCGGATTTCGGGAAGCTCTCTGTTGGCAGTGACGAGGCGAGCCAAAGCAGAAGCCACAAGACCTCTTCTCGGCCTTTCTCCACGGCCAAGTGCAGACCACTCTTGTTATGATTAAGAGGATCACGGTAGCGGATCAGGTGGCCCAGTTGAACCGTGTCGCCACCGAGCTCCGCGCTGGCATCGTGGAGCAGCTCAACAATGCCAGTCGCGTCGCCCTCGGAGCACATAACGTGATAAGCACGTGCGGGCCTTGCCTCGGGGTGCGCTGCGAGATAGGCTTCCTCCGTCACCGTGGGGAGAATGTCGAGGTTGTCCTCGATGCCACCCTCATTGACATAGCGGGCCAGAATGACGGAACCCGAGGACGCAATCACGATCTGGTTCGTCGCCGAAGGACCAGCCTCGTTGGTGGCAAGGTGCGTCTGGCATGAGGGGCACTTGAGTGATATGGCCACCTCGGACGATTTATCCATAAGACATTGCCTGTAGGCTCTGTCAGCGCTTGAGTCGATAACATCTAGGCGACGACAAGAAATAAATGAGAAATAAATGAAAACTCCTCCCCCACCCCTGACCCCCCCGGTTCCCTTACCAGTGAAAATGACAACCGCAGCGGAGTTCGAGATCATCCGGAACAGTTGTTGCCTCTTCCTCTCCGTCGCTGTCTGGTCCCAACTCGAGGACCAGAGGGTCGCTGCATTCCTTGCAGTGATAGGACATGGTCGGTGTTCGTTTTTCGACTCGACTCAATTGTAAGATTTGATGGATAGGCGGCAGTTCAGAACCCGCATCAGCTAAGGGGAAATGGTTTGGAACTAATGTGGACGTGTTGTATCCAGGGTTGTGAAGTACTCTGGGTGCAGGTTAAGCATTTTCTTTAGACTCCCTCGCAGGCGACAACAGCCAAGCATGGAGGGGCAAATACAGCAGATCTGGTCAAAGAAGTGGGGCACAGCTTTACCTGTTCCGCCGGTATGTCGAAGTCTGTAGCGATGTCCTACACTGCACAAGTCGCCCACCCGAGCAAGCATGTCCCAAAACTTGCACTTGGTTGGCTAGCTTGCCGCGCAGGTGCACGACATCGAGCACAAGTACACAGTGAGACCATTGAAAAGAAAAAAAAAAAAAAAAAAAAAAAAAAAACCTCCTTGGGACCCGCTACAGGTAGGCAGGTAGGCTGCAAGAATAGGTACACATGTACCTGATAGAACGCACGGGGCTTGCGTTGCTGGTGACGTAGGCCGTGTGGCTGCCCACAGATGTAGACAATGTAGACAACAGGTACCTACCTAGGTGGCCTAGGATTGCCTGCTCAAAGCCACGTCAACGTGGTGTCGATGCAAGGTACCTATCTACCTGCCGCAAATGTGCTGCTCTGGAATGCAAGAGGCGAGGGATGCCTGGAAGAGAAGGGGAACTGGGTAAGCCCAGCACCGGAAATGGGCATGCCTGACGCTGGCGCAGTCAGGCTCGTAGACGCCCGAGGTATCCGAGCTCTCAGGAACAAAAAGCCTCTACGGAATCTCCACAGAGGACGCGAGCAGAGAGGACCAGCGAGTCCTAGGTGCCTGCCTGCCTCGCTGGGCGAGCACCACCAGCCAGCTTACCTGTTACTCGAGGGTACTCTTTTGTCGGCGACAATGAGATGCAAAGGTGCGACATACCTTTCAGGTACCTCGACGTTGCGCCGAATGTGATTCGAAAGGGCGACAGGCATCAAGCAGTCGTCCCGGTCAGAAGTGGGGTCAAAAGTTCGGTGCATTACATCAGTCCACGCATCCCCGCCCCCGCCAACGCCCAGCCAGCCCAGCCCAGCTTGCTCTGTCTACTCAGCCCAGCTCGGACTGCCTGCCAACTTCGCATTCGTTTTGCGCTGCCTAACACGGCTGCTAACACTCATATTAAGACGGGCCCTGTTTGCTGCCCGCCGTCGCATGAATACCCGCCGACCCGTTTCCTCATAGAATTACCCGTTACCCGACGCATCGCAACAGTCCAGGGTCGCTTTGGCAAGCCCGCCTAACCTCCACACGACAAGAAGCAGCAATCTCCTGCCTCCATAACCCCCCCTTTCTGCTGTCTTACGAACGCCCCATCCTGTGGTGAAGCAGTCTCGTCCTCTTCTATTCTTCGGAGACAGGGGCAAACTCCACGCTGCCACGATGAATGTCTTGAAACTTCAGAGGTTCGTGGGCGCTCTCTTCTCTGGCCAGAGAAACACCCTGGAATCCACTGCCTCATTCTTCCGGCGCTGACCCCTCTCGCGCGCAGGAAGTATCCTCAATTCCCGCAAGATCAGATCTTCGGTCTGACCGACGCCTTCCGTAAACTCGATGTCGACGACAAGGGCTACATTGATGAGGCTACAGCCATCAAGGCGACGCAGGCCAGTGAGCGTCAGCCGTATGACGTTGTGCGACAAGCGCTGAAAGAGGTCGACCTCGACTCCTCACGGCGTGTGGAGCTCGAGGATTACGTCGGTGTACGTTTCATTCCCCCCATGCCGAGAAAGTTCTTTATTAGTGCTCTGCGCAAAAGCTGACAACGAGATGGATTCGTAAAGCTCATCGCCAAGCTACGTGATTCCTCGCCCGCGCAAAAGCGCATGTCGACCGGCCCAGCGCCGGGTGCCGCCGCGAGCATTGTCGCGCAAGCCACCGGCGGAGGTGGACGCGCGCGTGCCACCTCCAACGCCGGCAAGATTCACGTCCAGGGTTCCAATGCCAACGTCACGCACACCATCAACGAGGATGAGCGCACCGAGTTCACTCGTCACATCAATGCCGTCCTCGCTGGCGACCCTGACCTCGGCAGCCGACTTCCCTTCCCCACCGACACGTTCGAGATGTTTGACGACTGCAAGGACGGTCTTGTCCTCGCCAAGCTGATCAACGACAGTGTGCCGGACACCATTGATGAGCGTGTTCTCAACTTGCCGGGAAGGAAGATCAAGACCCTCAATGCCTTCCACAAGACCGAGAACAACAACATTGTCATTGAATCTGCCAAGGGTATCGGCTGTTCCGTCGTCAACATTGGCAGTGGAGATATCATTGAGGGCCGCGAACACTTGATTCTCGGTCTCATCTGGCAGATTATCCGTCGTGGTCTGCTTGGCAAGATTGATATCAAGTTGCACCCTGAGCTTTACCGGCTTCTTGAGGAGGACGAAACTCTGGAGCAGTTCCTCAGGCTGCCCCCTGAGCAGATCCTTCTGCGCTGGGTCAACTACCACCTGAAGGCGGCCAACTGGCCAAGAAGGTGTGCTTTCCTCATTCATGAAGTACTGACTTGTGGCATCAACTAACACGTCCCAGGGTGAACAACTTTTCCAGCGATATCAAGGACGGCGAGAACTACACTGTTCTGCTCGCCCAGATCGGATCCGAGTACGGCAACACACGCGCGCCACTGCAGACCAATGATCTCCTGCAGAGGGCCGAGCAGGTTCTCGAGAATGCTGACAAGATGGGATGCCGCAAGTTTTTGACTCCGACGTCGCTCGTGGCCGGAAACCCCAAGCTCAACCTGGCTTTCGTCGCGAACCTATTCAACAACCACCCTTGCCTCGACCCCATTACCGAGGAGGAGAAGCTCGAGGTCGAGGATTTCGATGCTGAGGGTGAGCGCGAAGCTCGTGTCTTCACCTTGTGGCTCAACAGTCTGGATGTCCAGCCGGCCGTTCAGTCTTCTTTGACGACCTGAAGGGACGGCACCATCCTGCTCCAAGCCTACGACAAAGTCATCAAGGGCTCGGTGAACCAGCGACACGTGAACAAGCGCCCCGCGCACGGCGGCGAGGTGTCGAGGTTCAAGGCTGTGGAGAACACCAACTACGCGATCGAACTTGGCAAGCAAAACGGGTTCTCTCTCGTCGGTATCCAAGGAGCCGACATCACCGACGGTCAAAGAACGCTCACCCTCGGCCTGGTTTGGCAGCTGATGCGCAAGGACATTACCCTGACCCTGTCTGCGCTTGCGCAGCGCCTAGGCAAGAGGGAAATCACAGACTCCGAGATGGTACGCTGGGCCAACGAAATGTCAAAGAAGGGCGGCAGGAACTCGGCCATTCGATCCTTCAAAGATCCATCGATCGGCACCGGCATTTTCTTCCTCGACGTCCTCAATGGCATGAAGAGCAGCTATGTAGACTACGACCTCGTGACGCCGGGCCACACCGATGACGATGCGTACCTCAACGCCAAGCTCAGCATCAGCATTGCTCGAAAGATGGGAGCCACCATTTGGCTGGTGCCGGAGGACATTTGTCAGGTCCGCAGCCGACTTGTCACCACCTTTATCGGTAAGAAAAATAGGAAAAGCCAAGCCCTTGTTGTGTAACATGCAAGCTAACCTGTGCCTTTAGGCTCTCTGATGGCAACATCGGAAAGGATGTAGATCGCGATTGGAGAAGTAAATGTGCAGGCGCACTTGGCCAAGCGATGCTGCCATGCGAATGTTGTGGACTCGATTGATTGGGGTCATTTGTCGGTGATGGGTGGGGGTCTCAGCGCCGTCTTGTCACCAGCCAGCATTGTGCTCTGGAAGGTTCTACGAGTTCTTGTTCTACATGCGTAAAACGAATCACCTATCAAGTTATTTCTTGTGCTTACAGTGTGTGATGCGATCAATATGAGGTCATCCCGGTTCAATCCATAAAGCGCAACCTGGCTGCTTCTTCAATTCTGCCGCTGTGTCATCTTCGTCGCACCATCGTAGGTATCGAGATCAAGAGAAAAAAATCCGAATAAGGGAATCCTTGAACTAACTGCCTAAATTCTTGTTGGCGGCAACGATGCATGTTGATAGAATGTGAGAATTAAGGACAACCTCAAGGATGCCGGCTGTGGCTGCACTTGGTGTCGTCACAGGTCGACCGGTATTACATAAGCGTGGTAGCTGTTGGCTGACGGATTCCCGAAACTTTTGACGCATGCAACCAGAGGCACCTATCCTCCCCCAATTCCTGTGGTCAACGCGCATCTCTTGTTTTTATCACCTGTGCCTGCCTATCGAGAACACTCGTCGCGGCATTCTTCTCAGCCACTCAATTGAAAGTACGATACATACTCGCTTCTTCTTCTTTGTTTCCGCGCATTCCGCCAACACTACAACCATGTCGCGCGGCGGCGGAACCACGTTGTACGTCACCGGCTTCAGCCATGGTACTCGTGCTCGCGACCTTGCCTACGAGTTCGAACGGTATGTCCAACTGCAATCAATCAGCCTTACGTTGTCGATGCCTCCGCCCTCCTCTACCTCCACCTACCTGCCTCCTGCGCGCGATCCTTCCGAGCTTTCGACTGTCCTCCCTCCCTGATCCTCGTCGTCGTCGTCGTCGTCGTCACTCGCTCTCCCCGTAACCAACGTCACTGGCTGTCGTTCAGCCTTGCGCCGCCCTCCTCCCACCGTTCATCCCGCCTCGATTCGGTCCCGACAGGCAACTTTTGTTGCGCCGACTGCCAGCGACTGGCATGCTCAGCGCATCTATTGTTTGGATCAACGGTGGCACATGTCGTTGCCCTCCTGAAACCCACCTTGTTTGAAGTCACTAACATGAACTTCTTCTAACAGCTACGGACGATTGGTACGATGCGATATCCCGGCACCCCGATCCGCCTCGAGCAGACTGTGAGTAACTGTCGAGCATCTTTTCTTGAGGTCCGCATTCTGAACACAGGTATCATCTAGCTTTGCCTTTGTTGAGTACGAAGATCGTCGTGATTCCGACGATGCCTACCACGAGATGCATAACAAGCGCATTGGACGTGACGATGTTCTGAAGATCGAGGTCAGTATCCCAAACCATATTACACACTCCTGTTGTTGCAGCGCCAACTGACCTGCTTCGCAGTGGGCCCGCACACCTCCTTCTGCCTCTTGGCGGTTCGATTCCGGTCGCGATCGTGAGCGCGCCCCCAGACGCTCCTCTCCCCGTCGTGGACGGTCGCCCTCTCCCCGCCGCAGCACGCGCGACTACTCGCCTCCCCCTCGAAAGGAAGACCGCCGTGATCGTGACCGCGACTATGACCGCGACAGCCGCCGCGACCGATCTCGTAGCCCCGAC